GTAGTTACATCTACAAATGGTTAGATTTTCGAGTGGCTCGGATGACCGCTTTAAATGGCGGCCCMACCTCTCCACACCCGGTCTTACACTAAGGRTCTTAAAATAACTGAGGAAAAAKTGCTGYCTTTGTAGTTACATCTACAAAYRGTTAGATTTTCGAGTGGYTCSGATGAWMACTYTAAATGRCACAARACAAGAAACACGACTGGATAACAGAAAAATTCTAAAGTACCACGCGATTGCTCCCACAGTGAAGTTGCTGTTTTTGTAACTACAAACTTACGTTATAGACGATCACCAATAAAACCCCAAGGCTAACTGTCAGAACAAAGGGYAGGATACTTCGCTTTGCTTCTTGTACACTAACGAACAATACCAGTACCGCCAGCATGTTGAGTGTCGGGGTGACGGCGGGAAYCCTGTGGTTGGTCAAGATAACCAAGGTAACCCAAACGGATAGTACGATGGCAAATAGATCACAMGTCTGGAGAAATRGTTCGTCCATTGCACAAAAGACTCGAGACCCRCACAAGTGATAGAGCTGTAGGGGAAAATGGACATTGAAATTACAAACAAATTATAGATAGATTCTATAGAAATCCCTGAAGCTTGGATACAGACTATATACACTTATTTCAATAAAGTTAATCACAAGAAATACTACAAAGCTGAGGCCGACAAGGATTAGGGGGAGATACATTTTACATGTTTTAACCGCTTGATAACTGTTGATGGACTTGAGATCTTCTACCAGTTACAAGTTAACCTCCTCTGAGCATCCTCAACTGCTGCAGTTTGTGTCAAAAGCTTTACTTGTTGAATATAAAATATTTCCCATGATTCTCAGCGATCACAGCTTTCTAGTCTTTTGGTGACTAACTTTATCGAAATAAGTATATAACAAAATAGTCTGGGTGGAGAATGGTCAACCAAACAGCCAATCACAGCATAAACCGACTGACCAATCAAAACGCTGATGATCCGACTAGCCGTATATAACAGACAAGCCATCCAGTCTAGAGCATCGCCTGATGTAGACTACAAGTTTGAAGTCATAATGTTGAGGTCCTTCTACAAACGATAGTGATAGTGATAGCGATAGTGAATGATAGTGATGTGATAGTGATAGCGATAGTGAGTGATAGTGATGTGATAGTGATAGTGATGTGATAGTGATAGCGATGATGATGGTGAAAGTGATGATGATAGTGATAGTGATGATGATAGTGATAGTGATAGTTATAGTGATGATGAGACTAATAGTGATAGCGATAGTGATAGCGATGATGATGGTGATAGTGATGATCATAGCGATAGTGATGATAATAGTTATAGTGATGATGATAGTGATAGTGATAGTGATAATGATAGTGATAGCGATGATGATGGTGACAGTGATAGTAATACTAATACTTACTGTTGAAATTACCAACAGAAAAAGGTACACCAAGGTCTCTGGGTACAACTGTTTGCGCAAAGCTATCCCCGCGTCGATAAGAAAGGCCACATTACTGAGAGTCAGAAGCATTACTCTTAGAAGATCAACATCGTTATCTTGATCACATGCCCACCCCTTGTAGCCGGCATCACAGGAGCACTCACCAAAGACGATATCAGGCTTCGTGCGAATATTGCATGTACCTTGGTTATTGCAATCAGAACTGCATGCCTGCATTTCAGCATAAAATCCAATGGTTGCAACAGAGCTAGCCTTAGTATATAGACTTATATACCATATCCCTTCGCCTGGAAATGGTACATGAATACTAGACGCTCTGTTATTCTCCGACACAGAGCTCAGTTGTCCAGAACAGTTTATTGCATAGTAGCTTTCAACTTGATAAAACAAGGGAGGGAAGTCTTTTTGTAAACATATCAGAGTTTCGTCATAACTTCCGCTTTGCAAAGCCAAGTGGGCACTCAGCATGGATCCCACATGGTATGGTGATACCTCGAGGGAGAAGAACATTGGTCTATTTACTGGTAATGAGATCGAGTTGTTTGATTTGCTCGTGGTGAATTTCACGTTTAGAACTTTTCCAGTCTTTGTACYTGACATTTCTTGGACAGGTACACAGGCGGGGTCAAAGGGGTTGGCGATTGTTAGACCAGGAAGGGCTTCTGAACAACCTAGCATTAAAAATGAATGAATGAATAGATAATAATAATAAGAATAGTTTTATTTATGGACGATGATGATGATTACAAAAATAACCATAGCGTAGTAATAATAATAATAATAATAATGACAATGACAATGACAATGACAATGAGAATGACAATAACGAGTAACGGGATCCGTGAAATGGTCTATTTTAACAAATAAATGGATAATGACTGATATTATTTACGAAGAAATGAGGAGTCAATTATCAATTTTTTCTTAAAGGTACTCAATGATGAGTTTTTTCTTTAGTTATTTCTAGGAGATTTTCATTACAAAAAAAAAAAAATCTACAAAGCTTTTCGCTGTCGTATCACAGCGTGGGACAATCACAACAGAGCTAGGCTCCAAACTAAGTGAAAGCCCAAAAATCAAATTGGAATTTAAAAATTGATTTTTGAGGAGAGAGGAAAACCGAAGAACCCGGAGAAAAACCCTCGAAGCACAGNAACGAGAACGAGAACGAGAACGAGAACGATAATAATAATAATAATAATAATAATAATAATAATAATTTACAATAGGTTCAAAGGTTTTATTTTCCACGCACAAAAATACAAAAAAAAATTACAAAAATGAGGTTAAGAAGTGGATGGTGCAAGATAGACAACCCGAAAGGGTTAATATCTTCGATTGCATGTTATGTCATCGCGGCCATGTTGGTACCATTTAACAAAATATTTCTCATTAGCATCCATTGTTAACGGTACCACGATGGCCGCCATGCTTTTGTCTCTTGACTTTCTTGGGAATATTTGCAACCCATCAATACAGTAAGTTACTCTTGCACTCAGAAGGATTATAAATTGAATATTATATCCACATTCAAACTGTAGATGAGATTAGTACGAAGTTAAGATTTTGAGTGATACATCTAATAGTTATACTTATATATAATTACTAGTTTGCAATAGGCCATTTCACAGATCCCGTTACTCAACCTCAGCCTCGTCAGCGTGCAATTATTCTTTAGAATTTGACTACAGTCCGCAGTAATGAAAGGAATTTACACATCAACGAACAATTGAAACACTTAAAAATTTCACAGGTTGTAGGCAATTTCTAAAGAATATATTACACGCTGACGAGGCTGAGGTTGAGCCGCGGGATCTGTGAAATGGTCTATTTTAACAAATAAATGGATAATGACTGATATTATTTACGAAGAAAGGAGGAGTCATTTAATTTTTTTCTTAAAGGTACTCAATGAGGAAGTTTTTTCTTTAGTTATTTCTAGGGGATTTTCATTACAAACAAAAAAATCTACAAAGTCTTTCGCTGTTGTATCACAGCATGGAACAATCACAACAGAGCTAGACTCCAAACTAAGTGAAAGCCCAAAGATCGAATTAGAATTTAGAAGTTGATTTTTGAGGAAGGAGGAAAACCGGAGAACCCGGAGAAAAACCCTCAAAGCACAGGAGAGAACCAACAAACAACTCTACTCACATACGACATCGAGATCGGCAGGTCTCGAACTCGGGCCGCATTGGTGAGAGGCGGCGCATTAGCAGCGCACGCCACCCGTGCTTCCCAAATTACGGTTTCTGGCTGCTGCATAATGTATCATCATCATCATATTAATATTAATAATAATATTAATAATAATATTAATAACTTTGTTGTGGTTATATATAACCAGACATATCTAGTATCAACACTTACCTACTTCAGTAACAGATATATTGTACAAGATTTGG